CTTTACCTCATTGCCACGTTTTAACCAAGAGAGCTAATAAGGATTTGAATGTGGTTTTGTTTCAAGCTTAAGCTTTTGCACCGTCTCCTCTGCCATTACATTCTCACAGCTCCCACCATTAATAATAAGCTTGCAAACCTTCCCTCCAATTGTGCAGGTTGAATGAAAAAGGTTGCGTAGCAACCAATGACCATCCTCATTGTGCGGAGTGAAACAAACTTTTTTAACTACAAGAGCCTCCCCTTGGTCCCCATGTAATATTTCTTCCAAGTTTTCATTTTCATCACCGTCATATATTGCTTCTTGTGAGAAATCATGAAAACCATCATTTGTATCTTCGCTTTCAATAAACAACTTTTTTACCTAGACAATCAGATTTTCGACATTCACTAGACTTGTGACCAAGTTCACCACACTTATGACACCTTCCACCAAAAGTAAGAGCATTCTTGGGATTCAAGCTTCCACTAGAAGTGACTTTTGGGGTAGTAGGTGCTGGGACAATAGGCTTGGAAGCTGTTGGAGGGGCTGCTATTGTAGAACCCTATGAAGAAGCACTTTGTCGACTATTTTGTTTCTTAATCTAGATAGCCTTTTGATATGCTTCGGATACACTATAAAGATCATATAGATTAAGTGTCTCCTGAATATTTTGGCACAATCCACCAATGTAACGAGCCACCAATTGGTCATTGGTCTTATCCAAGTCATTTCGTGCAAGCAGATTGTAAAATTCCTCCGTGTAAGAACTCATTGACCTATTGCCTTGCTGAAGATTTTGTAACTTCATATACAAAGATCTTGTGTAATTGTGAGGCAAAAATTCAGTATGCATGTATTTCTTCATCTTTTCCCATGTTTCAATCTTTTTCTTTCTCTTTCCCTTTAGAATCCGAGAGGCCTTAACTTGTTGCCACTAAGCTGATGCTGTTCCTCGTAAATGAGTGGCTACCAATCCCACCTTTTTGTCTTTTAGAACCTCATTGAAATCAAAGATGTCATCTACTACTGTCAACCACTCTAAGAGATCCTCTGGTTGCATCCCACCATAAAACTCAGGGATTTTAGTTTTAAAACCAAAATCCCAGCGATTATCGTTATTTTGAATTACCTAAGCAGCTGCTTTGTGGGGAATATATGGTCTCATTCATGCCCTAAAACCCGCAAATGGATTAACATTTCTAGGTTCTTCTTCATAATCTTCCTCGTAACCCTCTGGTGGTGGTGAAGGGTTTTGTCTTTCTGGACGATTTGGTGGCGGATTGTCAGGAAGTCAAAGTTAGATTTCCTCCATCATATGCATCATTTCTGCAAACTGATTGTCATGTCGAGCCACAAATTGCTTGATTTCTGCCATTGCATCTCCTTGGGAATGAACATTTCGCCTTGGAAACATAGTAATAATGTTAAGCATTCAATTTATCCCAACGATTGATAAATGAACTAGCCATTATGTCTGCATCAAAAACTCAACAATTGTTTGCATAAGAGTCTTGATTGTTAAGCATGTCTAATGATCGACAGTTTTAAAGGTTCAAAGCATGCTGAAAGTTATAAGATGATCAATGTCTTTTGAGATGTAATTGGATGAATGAAACACAACAAATTCGTTTCAGTAATTCAAGAACTGCTAAAAATTCAAGGTCTGATTAATCAGCTTGTATCAGTAGCCATAATAATAAGATTATATCCCCAAATAAAGGTGTGACTAATTGATATTGGTTCGGTTACTGATAGCTCAGTGGAAACATATAAGATGCGTGAGCTGTGAAAGTTAATTGCCAAACAAAGATGGATGGCTTTCATGTTGTACCATTACTTATGCAACTTGTATATTTTGCACTAATACTTATTAAACTTGAAAAACCAAACAAAGGTTGAGTTGTTTAAGTTATACAGAATATAGAGTTCTCAATGCTTATTTTCATTTGAAAATCTTTCAGTAATTAGCTCCCTAAATTCAATTCAAACACTCAATGGAACCAACTATAAGAAGTGGAGGCAAGATATTGAAATAGCTCTAGGGCTCATGGATATCGATTTAACTCTAAAAGAGAAAGAAGCAACCAAGCCTACTAATGATGCAACTGCAGACAAGAAAAATGAATATGAAAAATGGGTTAACCCTAACAGAATAGTGTTGCTGGTAATCAAAAGGTCAATGTCTGATCTGGTTTGAGGGGTAATGACTGAATCAGATAATGCTAAGGCATATCTTGACTCCATAGAAGCCAAGTTCAAAAAATCTGAGAAGGCTAAAACTAGAACACTCATGAACACCCTTATAACCATTAAGTACCTTGGTGGTGATGTGAAAGAGCACATTCTCTCAATGGTTGATTCAGCTAAAAAACTGAATGCACTTAACATTAAGATCGATGATCCTTTTCTAGTTCATCTCGCCCTAAATTCCTTACCCCCTGAGTACTCTCAGTTGAAGAGTACTTACATAGCTTAGAAAGAAAAATGGGACCTGAACAAGCTGATTGCGATCTGTGTGCATGAAGAGCAAAATATTCGACAAGATAGAAGGAAGAAACAAGTCAATGTAGTGCAGAATGTCAACCCTGCAAATCCTCCTAATAAGAAAGACAATCTTCTACAGAAAAAACAATAAAAGGGCTGCAAGAAGAGTCAATAGGGGCAATAACCATCTGAGAGTGCATTGGGGTGTTGGAATAAAATGTTTCTTCTGCAAAAAGGTGGGACATGAGAAGAAGAAGTGCACTAGGTATAAACGTTGGAAGGAAAACAAAGAAAGTAAGAAAAACAAAGGTATGGTGTATTAAAATTTCAGTTTGTTTTGAATCAAATTTGGTTGAGATCAAGGATTAAAATATCGGTCGTGCAGATAATATCGGGCCTCCAATTTACTGATATTTCGGGGGATATATCGTTATCGTTTTAGGTATCGGGAAAAAATCAACAAAAATGACAGATATAGGCATTGAAACACATAATTTTGGTCTAAAACTTTCATAGATGTTATGTACATTATCAATGAATGTATTGAACAAATAAAACTCAAAATTTACTAATAATAAGATATACATATGATGAAATATAGGTGGTATGTAATGCGTGTTAACGAAAAGTTTTCTAATAAAATGTTTATTAGAATGAATAAACCATGCATAAATCCATAGTTTGTTTAAACATTAGATTACAATTTAGATAAGTGTCCAACTACATAAATGAAGAGCTCCTATGAGGTTCAAACAATGAGGAACAACCATCTAGATTTATACAATAGTCATACCAAGTCATGTAACCTGAGCAGTTTGTAAACCATGTTTGAACATGGAACACATATGTCTCTCTTGAGCTCCCTACTGTCCTCCCATACATGGGATAGTTAGGATTAACCCAATTAGTAGGTCCATAGTCTAATTCATCATCTTGAGCTCCATAACTAGTTCCACTATAATTAGACATGACATACCCATAGCCATCATAAGATTCATTTGAGTTAGTACTACGTCTAGTTCATATGCTCATAGATCCAAAACTGATCGCCATGTCATCTTCAGATGGATTGATTAGTTGGCTTCTTTTCCCTGAGTATTGCTTCCCAATTGCACCAATGCCTAGTCCAGCTTCTCTGCATCCATGATCCTCATCTTGGGTGGCATGAGTAAATCAGCCTTGATAGTAAATGGGCTATATTGTCTTCATTCTTCATTACCTCATGATCCAGCATTACTTCCTCCATCATTATCTGACGAATTAGATGAACTTTCCTTTCTACTAGTACTGGCATCGTCTCTCAAGGGATGTCTTTGACCTTGCTAAGTGCCAATCATATCCCTTTCAAATGATGAAGTATCTCCACTTTTAACATCTTCAGATATAACTCTATCAACATCAACTCCTTCTTAGGCAGCATGTTATGCTATAACAGCATCAAGGTTGCCTTGTTCATCATCTAAGTGAGCTGTTATAATCCATTGTTGAATTAGATTATTATCATCATCAGATGGTTGCCCTGCAATGTCAAAAAGGTATGTAGTCATTTTCTGCAACCTTGTTCATTTCGGCCTCTTCATCACGTAGGTTAAGTTTCATATTATAATAGCAAAAGACAATCTTTTACAGCCTAGTATATGCGATACGGTTCCTTTGTTTCGTGTGAATAAGATCAAATGCACTCCAATTTCGCTCACATGCCGATGATGATGCTGTTTGTGACAATATACGCATAGCAATTTTTTGCAAGGTTGGGGCAGAATCACCATGAAGATTCCACCATTCTGCTAGGGGGATTGATTTTCTTGATTTGACAGCCATCTTAGTGCGAAATGTCTTTCTACAGTCTCTAAAATTTATCACCTGGATTCACAATGTTTTGTGTTCAGTCTGCATAAAACTAAACTTAATGAGGAAGACATTGTTTTGTGTTCACTTAACTTGGCCCCAAATGCTTGCAAACCTTTATCCCCAGTTGGATTCAACCTTTCAAATACGTGTTGGAGTCCTGAAAGTAACTCTTTATTGTGGCCAACCCCTATTTCATATTGATATCTAGGGTTCAAGTAGTGGGCTACAAATATGAAGATTAGTTAATGCCCATTGTATAAATTTAAAAATTGATGCACGTTTTTACTAAGAGATTAAAACATACCAGCTTGATGTAATGGACAAGATAACGTGACATCCCATCTGTGATTGATGATTTTGAGAATCCATTTTTTTCCCTTCAACTTAGAAATCTTCTCTTTCATTATGTGAAACATATCATATAAGATATGCATTGTAGGAACTACCTCTGTGTCAACAATTCGCAGGATGCTATACAAAGGCTTATAGATGGATTGCACTCCTTCCATGGCATCCCATAATCTATGATCAAGGACTCGACTTTCAATTCTCTTCCCTTCTTTTGATTCACTGAATCGACTATTATAACATTCCTCACTTGTAAAAAGTTACCTCAGCCTAGCTTTCTTATTTAAGATGCTATTGATGGTGATGTAGTTTGTCTCAAACTGAGTTACACCGGGTCAGACCAAATCTCCTTGACAGAAGATCCTCATCTGAGCCAATAGCCAACCATGATTGTAAATGTAGTTGGTTAATTTCCTAGCTTTATTTATGACATTAGCCACTGACTCTTGCTTCCCAATATCTTCAAATATTAGATCAATGCAATGTGCAGCACAAGGAGTCCAATAAATAGGATTCCGCTCTATCATTATCTCTCCAGCCTTAACAAAGGCTGAACCATTGTCGGTGACAATATGAACAACATTCGACGACCCAACCTCTTTTATGGCATCCTTCAACAATTTGGCGATGTACTTTGCATCCTTGGTTTTATTTGAAGCATCCACTGATTTCAAAAAAAAAAATTTCCCGTTTGAGTAGACCATGAAATTTATTATGGACAACCTCGTCGGGCCAGTCCATCCATCACTCATAATGGTGCATCCATACACGCCTCAATCTTCCTTTACTTTTTCCACATAGGCTTGCATGTCTGTGTGTTCCATATCTAAGTACTTATGCTTTATTTCATACGGCGATGGTATGGCTATGCCTTGACCTAATATAATCGAACTCATATTAGCAATTGGTGTGTTTAGAATATTTAAGTTCAAGAAAGGAAAGTCATAAGGAATAAAGCAAAACCTTCTTGTTGGGCTGCAGCAATCATGTTCTTGAAATGAGGGGAACTTGCTTTTTAAGGAGCCAAATTCTCAAGTATGAAGAATTTGCTACAGTATCTTCCAAGTACCTCTGCTGAGTTTCTAATCATGCCTTTGATTGTTCTCTATTTTGCTCTAGTGTTCTTGTGTGGCATTGGTACCGGAAGAGATCAGAGTGGGTCTCGAAGGCTTTGAGTGTGACGGTATTACGGTTAACTACTACCACTTGCTCCCCTTGCAAATCGTTTGCTTCCCATTCCGTAAGCTCCTCCTTGTCTAAACCATTCTTCTTCCTTTGACGCTCTAATGACAGCAAGGTAATCTTCTTTTTCCGCAGGGTGCATGTCTGAAGGATATGCATATTCATCCTCATCATCATCATCATCAACAGGATTGCTACTTTTATTGCCCATGTATCCCCTTCTTGCTGTAGATCTTATGTTTTCTTCAACAGATTTCTTATGTTGTTTGCTAGACTCTTTATCCTTTATCCATGCAATTACCTCCTTCTTAATATCTGGTGGTACTTCTTTGCACTTCTTTACACTCTTATGTGGATCAAATCCGGTCAAATGATACTTTAACCGTGTAATTCCACCAATTTTAAATGTGGATTCACAAAATGTACATATTGTGCCATGCTTATTGCCTTCTATTGGATGAGCATATTTCCATGCCACATCAAGACCACCAGGCACACTAGCTCCACTCGATCTACTACTACTTGCCATTTTTAATCTATCACAGTTAAATATATTAAATTAACTTACAATATCAAATCTATCACAAAAATAATACAGACCATGAGGGAGAGCCACATACCTGAAACAACAGTCAAAGAGAACTTGCAAACAAGGAAAGAAGCTCACAAACTAAATAAAAGTTGAAAAGCTCGCAGAAAAAGAAGAGAAGTGAAGATTTGGTGCCCCAAAAAAAGTAAAACACCCTCTGATTTAAAGAGGGCTTCTCTCGTGATAACAATGGGAAGTTTTGGGGTTTGGGGGACAATGGTATATGGGCTTTGCAGACTTTATTTTATGAATTCCATTTGGATGATTCTCTGGCTTTGATGGAAATAAAGGTAGTCAGATTTTTTTGGAGGTATATGGGCAGTGCATTGCATATTGCCAATTGCTTGACTTCAAAAAGTGAAAAAGAAACAACCAAAAAACAAAACAAATATTTAATGATAAAGAGTTCCACAAGAAGCTTAGACACATGTGCATCATTTTCTTGTGGGTATTAAAGATATATTTGACCAGAAATTTAATATTTGGCTTTGTGTATTTCTTTCTCTTCAGATAAAACACGTATGTCCCCTCAATTCATTGTGCATAGATTCTTTATAGTAATAATTAATGGATACTCCAAAAAATCTTTTGAATTGGATATTGCCAAAAGCCTTCACACATATCTAATCATTGCCCATATACCTCCAAAAAATCTTTTGGGTTTCAATTTGCTTCAAAACTTTTGAATTTTTTTGGGTTTTGTTATAGGTATGGGGAAATATTGAGAATATTGGCAAAATAACGGAGATATCCCACTTATCGGGGATATATCGTCGATATAGGGGAAGATATAGCCTTACCCCCCAGTATTAGTATCGACAGTTGAAAATATCGATATATACCGAATTGGTCGATATTTCAATCCTTGGTTGAGATATCTTATGATACCTGGTGGCTTGATACTGGTGCTACAATTCATGTAACAAACTCATTGCAGGGGTACATTAGTAAGAGAGTGCCAAACAAGGATGAGGTGTCAGTGTTCATGGGCAATGGAGCTAGAGTTGCAATAGAGTTTATTGAAGTAGTTAGACTTGAATTATTTTCTGGTATTTTGCTAAATTTGGTTGATGTTGCTTATATACCTTCCATAAGAAGGAATTTAGTTTCAGTTAGTAGGCTTGTTAAATCAAAGTTTAAATTTGATATTAAATGATATTGGTTTTTCAATATCTTGAAGTTCTAAGCTAATTGGTGATAGAGTGCTAACTGGTGATATGTTCAAGCTTAACTGCAATATACCAATGAGTGTGGTTAACACAATAAGGCATAAACAAACACTGACAAACGACACCTCATCTAATTTATAGCACAAAACATTAGGGCATATTTCTAGAGAGAGAATGCAAAGATTGACTAGAGAACAAATCCTGCCATCACTGAACTATAGTGATTTCGAAATTTGCACTAACTGCATTAAGGGAAAATTGATAAACAAGAAAAAGAAAGGTTCAATTAGAAGTACAAAGCTGTTAGAACTAATCCACACAGACATTTGTGGTCTTTTCCTAACACAAACACATAATGGCTACAAGTATTTCATCACATTTATAGATGACTTTTCTAGGTTTGGCCATGTATACGTGTTGCTTGAGAAATCTAGTGCCTTTGCTGCTTTCAAATTTTATAAAGCAGAAGTAGAGAATCAATTAGACTACAAAAATAAGGTGGTAAGGTCTGATAGGGGTGGAGAGTACTATGGAAAAATTTAGTGAGTCTGGTAGGCAGCATGGTCCCTTTGCATTGTTTCTGCAAGAGCATGGAATTGTTGCTCAATACACCAATCTTGGTACCCCTGAGCAAAATGGAGTTAGTGAAAGAAGAAATAGAACCTTGATTGAAATGGTAAGAAGCATGATGAGTAATTCGAAGCTACGTACCTTTCTTTGGGGGAAAAACAATCAAAACTGTAAACTACTCGCTGAATAGAGTTCCTAGCAAGTTTGTTCCCAAGACACCCTTCGAATTGTGGACTAACAAAAAACTAGTGCGAAATCACTTGAGAATTTGGGGATGCACAGTAGAAGCAAGAACATAGAATCCAATGGAGAAGAAGTTTGACCCTAGAACAATAACATGCTTATTTGTAGGATATCCAGAAAGAACTAAGGGTTACAGGTTTTATTGCCCTAATCACACCTCGAGGTTCATTGAAATTGGGAGAGCCAAGTTCATTGAAGAAGTTAATGATGATCAATAGGAAGAAAATCTTGACTGGAATGAAGAGATCACAACACTGCAAGATGAAAACCTAGGTGATGCTATGACAAATGAAGTTGTTTAACAAATTCTAGTGCAAAATGAACAAGTTAAAGAACCAATACAGGCTACTCAACAAGAAGAAATGGTTGCAGAAGAACCTATGTAGTTAAACAACACAACAATCATTCAAGAAAAACATATTGAGCTTGTGCAAATGGAAACCAAAAGATCCACCTGTGCAAGAAAGTCTGCAATCTGAAATGATTTCGTTTGTGTATCTATAAGAAGCTGAGTTTAATAGTCAAGAAGAAGATCCATTAAACTTCAAGACATTAATTGAGGGTCGAAATAATGCACATTAGCAAAAAGTTATGCAATCAGAATTAGATTCCATGAATAAGAACAAAGTGTGGGAGTTGGTTGAGCTTCCACAAGGATGTAAACCAATAGGCTGCAAGTGGGTTTACAAGACCAAGAGAAACTGAAAGGGTGATATTGAAATATACAAAGCTAGACTTGTAGCAAAGGGTTATACTCAGTAAGAAAGAGTTGATTATAATGAAACATTTTATCCAGTCTCTACAAAAGACTCTTTTAGAGTGATCATGGCATTAGTGGCTCACTTCAATTTATTTCTGCATCAAATGGACGTTAAGACTACATTTTTGAATGGAAATATTGAAGAAGAGATTTACATGAAGCAACCAGAGGGTTTCATTCAAGAAGGGAAAGAGAATTTGGTCTATAAACTTAACAAGGCCATTTATAGATTAAAATAGACATCGAGATAATATTATTTGAAGTTTGATGAGGTTGTTTCATCACATGGTTTCGAAGAGAGCCCTAGTGATGAATGTGTTTACATGAAAAGGAATGGAAACTGTTTGATTTTTCTCATTCTTTATGTAGATGACATATTATTAGCCTGCAATAATGCATCATTGCTGAGTGACACCAAGAGATTTATGTCAAAACACTTTGAAATGAAAGATATGGGAAATGTAGCTTTTGTTCTTGGGATTCAGATCATAAGGGATTGAAGTAAAGGGCTACTTGGTTTATCACAAAAAGCATATATTGAAAAAAGTACTTAAAATGTTCAATATGGAAGACTCAAATGGTTGTGATGTTCCAATGACAAGGGAGAGAAGCTTAGTAAGGATCAGTGCCCAAGATTGAGTTTGAGAGAAAAGAAATGGCTAGCAAGCCTTATGCTTCCCTAGTTGGGAGTCTCATGTATGCACAGGTATGTACCAGACCTGAAATTGCATATGCCATCAGTATATTGGGAAGGTTTCGGTCTAATCATGGTAATGCACATTTGATAGCTGCCAAGAAAGTTTTAAGATATTTGCAAAGAATTAAAAAGTATCGGCTAGTATACAAAAGGGATTCAAGACTCGAGCCAGTAGGCTATAGTGACTCAGATTTTGCAGGCTACCTTGATTCACTTAAGTCAACTTTAAGTTATATATTCATGTTGGCAAATGGGGCAGTGTTATGGAAGAGTGTGAAACAAGATACTATTGCCACTTCTACCATGCAAGCTGAGTTTGTAGCATGTTATGAAGCTACATCACAAGCTATTTGGCTGAGAAATTTTATTAGTAGTCTCGAGATTATGGATTCCATAGCAAAGCCTGTTCAAATTTGGTGTGATAATAAAGTTGTTATCTTTTATTCTAAGAATAATAAGAGGTCTCCTGGAACTAAGCACTTGAACATCAAATATGCATTGACAAGGAAGAAGGTAAAGTCTGGAGAAATCAAGGTTGATTACATTGAAACTTATGCTATGCTTGCTAATCCACTCACTAAGGTATTACCAAATGCAGTTTTTCATAAGCATGCAGTCAATATGGGAGTGACTACAACCCTAGATTTGTCAAACTATTGGGAGTAATGATAATATGTAGTTTAATTATGCATGGTAGCTGGTATCGTGATAGTTAGTATTGAGTTTTGGTTTTATATTTTGCTAGTTACTGCACTTGGTTGAATTAAAGGTTTAATAAAGGGATGTTATTTCAGTAATTCATTACATTGTTCCAATATAGTTTTAATTCATGTCTTTTGTTGAAAACTAAGGTTGCTGAAAGGCTATAAGCAACTGATGTGTTTTTTTATGGAATTATGTAGCAACAAAAGGTTATTAGCTGCAGTTGGTTATGTCATAAGATTGTGTTGGCATATGAACTGAGTTTTCACAAAAATATATACGAGCAATTCTCATAGCTTGAAAGCTCAAAATGAAGCATTAGACAATCAGGTATAAGACTGATTAAATGGACCTGGAAGTGATGGAGTTAATGTTTTTGACTCATAGTTTTGTAACTCACTTCTATACCAAGTCTATGATTGATTACTTTATGTAAGTGAAGACCTTATTCAGTGATTATAAGAGCTCATGGACACTTGTCTAGTTCATAGTCTCCCATAGTTCTGAATGAGTAACCTTTGCTTAACAGAAGTATGCAAGAAGCTTAATAGCTTAACTGAATCCTTTAGCTAATGAAGAATCATGATTACAGATCATTTAAGTTCTTTCTTGAATTAACTAATTGACCTAGTGGGAGAATGTTGGATGTTAGACTTTAATCCAACGGCTAATATGTCAATATAGGTAATAAGGATTGATGTGGAATGTAAGTACGATTAGAGTTTTGTTATAAGTTATAACTTGGATTCCAAGTAAAGTATATAATCTAGTTATAATTGGAGAATAAGGGCTCTTGATA